ATCAGTTTCAGCTTTCAATACAAGTGATAATACTTGGAGCGTGATTGTAAGTTTTGATAAAATTGGTAATTTCAAAATTTTAATTACAGTATTGTCAATAAGTTTACAGTCTGCTTCAATTGATATATTGTCAATAAACTTAGCAAACATATGGTAAAGCACCTTCTGCAAAGTGCGGTCATTCATCAGTCTATATTCGTATGTATTAATATAAATCTCAAAAATATTTTAATTCTCTCTCCCTCGATATACAGTATATATACTAATTTTGTTAATTAAATAGCTCAACAAAATAAAATTTTATTATTTTACGGAAGTAATGATACTTCAATTAATTCACTCAACACTTTGACATTTAATTGGACAATTCCTGTGATTTCAGGTAATGGAGGACCTAAACAAAGTTTGATGCAGCATACCTCTACATTAGTTGGCGCTTATGTTTTTATTGTATTTGGTAAGTATCAGTATGAAATAATTGTCATAAATAACTTGAAAGAATTACTTGAAAGAATATCCAGATTACAAATATTTAATCTTCATGTCTAGGGTATTATCCTAATTATACTATTTCACCTGATGTATTTGCTCTTGATGTGAGTAGTAATGATAACTATAAATGGGTAACGGCTTATGATCCTGTTAATTCAATTACTCCTATACCAACTCCAACTGTCAGTCCGACACCGAGTTCAAAATCAACAACTTCAAATACTAATTTTGGTGTTAATATTGGTGCTATTATCGGAGGTGTAATCGGTGGAATCGCAGGACTAATATTATTATCATGTACTGCAATAATTGTCATTCTTATAGTTAAGAAAAAATATTTAGATAAGGATAATATTGCCATTTCAGAAAATGGAATTGCAAATACTCAACCTATAACATAGTATATATGTTATGCGTCATTTCTTGATTTATGTCAGATGCGTCATTTTTCAACTTAAAATGACATGTCGTTTTTTAATCGATATTTGAACTTATGCTAAAATACAAAATATTGAGTTTTACATATTTACAATTGACTAAACAAATTCAACTAATGCAATAAATATTTTAATAATAAATATAAACATTTTTGCATTGATCGTCTAAAATCGTCTAAATCATCTAAAATCGACTTGAACATAATGATACAAATAAAGATGCTGGTGAAATTGTTTACCAAATTAAAAAATTCGGTAAATTCGTGAAATTGGTGAAATAAATAAATATATAATAATTAGAAACTTTAATATATCATATATAGTTATCTAAATTTTATTATATAGTTTACACATAGTGTTTATACACTGGTAAATTATTGAGTTACAAATTTATATGATATAAACATGGCGGAAAATCCTCATAGTACAATTGCCGTAACGATCTCTGTAAACTATAAAATAATTATAATTATTTTATAGTTACAGAGATCATTGGGACAAACTGTCCAAATTTGAAATGACTCAGGTTAATCTCATAGGACGAAATATTATATATAGCAACCGACTTTAAGCGAATTGGCACGAATTGTCAAAGGATGTGGCATATAAATTCTGACACTACACTTTAGGCTCTATAACATATCAAATTAATCCAGAAGTTAGCGACGGGTGTACTTTTTTGTCTTATAGGTTAAAGTAATTCAGCATAAGTTTTTTTAAGAAAAACTTGAAAATAGCGATTCAAACAACAATATTTACTGTTAGTTTTTTTCAATATTTTTTACTTAATATAGTTATTCGACAAAGCTACAATATATTAGATATAGAGTACACGTAGGATACGTACGATTACCCGCTATGTTCTATAGTTGGTTTTTGGTTTTTATACCGTTCATGGCTTTTTTTGATTTACTTAGAACTATTTATTCCTTATCTCGTTATTAAACTATGTACTATATAGTTAGGAAGTGATTTTGTTACTAAAGATTATCTATATATGTATTTAAGTTTAAAGACTTTTTTTTATTAAGTTTAACCAGATACGCATTAACAATAACTATAAAGATCAATGGGTTAAAATTGTGATTGTAAATTCAAATTTATAGTTTAAATATGTCTTTTTGTCTAATAATTCTAAATTTTTTTTACTTCGAACTTGTTTTCTACATATGGGCGGTATTAGATTATATCACCTAAGTTATAAATATGATATTTGGAAATTTATGATATCTAAAAATGATTGGTCAATAAATTTTTTTTGTATACAAGAATCACAAAAATTAGTGTTAGTACTTTAATTGTTAGTAAATGCCAACTTTGCCAAGTGATCTTTTCTTTTCAAAAAGAGCTTGTAATTCATTAAAAAACTAGATATAGAAATAATAAAACTATACTTTATTACAACTCACTTATTCAACCTTTTCTTGAGTAAGTTATACAGTATATACAGTTAGACCTTCCTAAATGCAATGCGACGGGACCATATATAAAAATTTAGTCAAACTTGCACTTAGAGAGGTATTGCATTTAGGGAGGTGTTTCATAGGACGTGCACTTAGGGGGGTAGCATTTAGGGGGGTCTGACTGTACGTATACAGTCGTCCCCCTCTATAGTCACACCTTCGGGATACAAAAAACCATGATTATATAGAGGTGTGACTAATATAAAGGTTACTTCTATATAGTCACAATTATATATATATATATATAAGGTGACTATATAGAGGTTTCAATAAAAATATAATAAATAACATGTTAACAAAATAGCAAAAAAATATTAATCTTATAAAATTTATTTATTACTGTATTAATTTTACAATGCTGATCTTAACTATATTGGATAAAGGTAAAGTATAGACTTATATGATTTGGGGCATTGTTCAAACAATAAAAAATCCCAATAATCAAATGAGTCTGAACTTAGATAAAGATTAAAAAATATTAAAGTCTGAGAATCGAGTCTTACCATAAGCGATTCAAGCTTTAAAAACAGCCCACTGCTATTTCTTTACTATAAGCAGTGTTGTACCTTCAAAATAATGGGATGTTCTATAGAATAGGTGGGCAAACTCCGCAAACTCCGCAACTCCACTATTAAAAAATTAATGATTACTAATCATTAACGAAGCTTATTTCTTATATTGCCCACCTATTCTATAGAATATTCAAATAAGGAACTTATGGACCAATTGGAATGGGACCTCATTTAGACCATTCCAATTGTTTCAAAGAATTTTAAATGGTATATAGGTCCAATAAATTTATTTAACAAATAATAATTTGTCACATAAAACATCTTATATTCAATCAAATTACAGTATTTAGTTATATTGCTATTATTAAAGAAGTTATATAAATAAAATATTAGCTAACCTCAAGTCTTTAATTTAATTTTTATTGCATAATATCCAATAAAGGGTTTCAAAATTAATGATTTGGCATCCAATTTTAGATAAAATAAGTACCAATTTGTGTTAAACATGTGACCCATAAATCTTTTTTTTTAATGTATAAACCTATTTACATAATCGTTTATTGGTAGATATTTATCAAAAAAAATAATTTTATTAACTTGAATCAGAATTTTAAAAATAGAAATAGAGTCTTTTAAACTCCCACTTAATTCAAAATAAGTTTAATTTTAAAACCTCCAATGTTTAAATTCAATTTTATTTTAGTTTTGCAAATTTTGTATATAGATTTTAAACACTGAAATAATGTCATGTGCATAGAAGCTAAACTTTATTGTTATTAGATGTTTTTTTTCAATTAAAATTTGACCAATTGAACTTAGTTAAAATTCTACCAGTTCATTATTCTGATTGAATTTGAATTGAATCATTCCAATTACAGCACTTACAACACTAAACATTAGTAATAAATATTTAAATAATAAAAATTTGATTGGTTAATTTGAATTATGTAAGTAGTGCAAAAATTTGATTGGTCAATCTGAATTGAACCTATTTGAACCTGGTCCAATTGATCCAATTCCATATTCTAATTAAATTTCAATTGGAAGCTTCCAACTGACAACACTGACTATAAGTATAATTTGGATTTAGCATATCCATCTCATTCTGAAATAATATCTGAAATTTTATTTCAGAATGTTATGATAAGATACAGTAATATGCCTGTACCTCTAATACAAACACTTAACAATAGAATAACAAATAATAATCCATATTGTATTTTTAAATAATTATAAGTCGTATACAATAAGTAAATTTCGAAATAAATACCATAACATTACCATCTAAGTGTCTCCTAATAAAAAAATAAAATCATACCATAATATTTTTTAAATTCCAATGCGAGCCAAGAATTACCTGTATAATGCCTTCTAAATTAATACCTAAGAAAGCACATAGTCACATTAGTGACAAACAAAAAGAAAAAATTTGTAAATTTGCTAAAAAAAATTTTTTTTCTTTTTTTTAAAAAAAATGCCTGAAATCTGATTATCATAATTATCATAGATCTAAAGATCATGTTCTATTGCGCAGTAGAGCCTTGAATTGCGAATAATAAAGAGGTATTAGTACATACTCCACTTGCATAAAAGGAAGACTATAAAAAATCAAAATTTACTTATCTAAGATCGCAACCTCAAATAACTTAAATAGGCAAATAACCACTGTTTTTATTTTTTTTAAAGTTATTTTAAAAAAATTTTTGTGATTAATAAAATAAATAAGATACATATGTACGTATAATACATAGTGCAACATAAACTAGTAGTATATCGAAAATAAATTTCCTAAATTTATCGATCTCAATAAACAAAGGGTCTAAAGCTTATTTCTAATTAATTCTATATAAAGTGTGAACTTTTCGGATTCTCTGCACTGTACGTACAGTATGTACAGATGAATAGAGTTGCTTTGATTGGCTAAAATTTAAAATTTGTATAATGTGTATTTTGTACCAACATGAATTTTTTGCTACCCATAATTGATGTAACTTTAGCAAGATAATTTTATTATAGGTATTATATAGATGGTTAGCAAAAAATTGTGATAGTGACTATAAAGTGATTGTGCCTATATAGAGGTATAATTAATATAAAAAGAGTTGATAAAAAAAAAAAGTGATTATATTAACTTTGTGACTATAGAGAAGGTAACTATAGAGGAGGAAGACTATATATTTTTAAATAGCAGTTTAAGAGTTTAAATTTTACTGATAACAAAATTAAATTAGCATCTGTAATAGGATCATACCAGCTAGAGTTCCGAACCGGATATAAAATTGTCACCCGGATCACCCGGATCACCCGTATAATCTGAAATCGGGTAAACCGGTTGAAAAAGGTTGAAATGATCGTAATGGCAAGAATTATAGATGATTAGTGTTTTTTTAAATTTTCAAGGGTGGAGTTCGATTCGATATTATCGAAAAATAAAAAAACTGATTCAGTTCGAATCTGAGATACGGACAAAAAGCATGAAAAAATAATACGATAGTACAAATACAAACCTGTAAACAGTGTTGTGACCTGGGAGAAACTTTGACTCGA